CAGGGTGTTCTCAGGCAGAAGGAGCAAAGGAGCAAAGGTTGTAAACTTACACTCCTAGTAAACATCTCCTCCTAATAGTACTGAACAATGTGATCGCTTCAAGTGCTTCAAAATATTTTTGATAGTTATTTCCTGACATCAGTACGAATCAATCTAAAAAAATGCAGCATGGCATGGGAAGGTAGAGAGTAGCTCAGTTCTGGGTAGAAATGTAAAGCTGTTAACTTTATGAAGATAAATGGGACAGCAGATCCTGTAATACCAAGAGATCTCATCATGTCTGGTGTAAAACACTGAATTTTAGTTCTCTCCAATTCATGCATTTAACTTCATAACTATGAAAAGTAAAGATAACAAAAACCTTTGCATCTTATAGAAAAGAAATCAGGTGCTTTTTCTCACTCTTTTGGAAAATTCCCTACATAAAATCCTCATAATTCACTTTGCTGTGCTTTTTCAGAACAAACTCTGTTTCACAAAATTTTGTGAACATTTTGAATAATATTATTTAATATATCATATATCATAGACATTGCATATATTTAGTACAAATCCACTTCTTTGCAAGTAGTTAACCTTATTTATGAAAAAAGCAAAATATATTCACCAGATTTAGGGTATCCTGCCAAAATGATATCATCACTTCTGGCTTCAAAGGACTCCAAGGCTCTGAATGTTTCAGGACTACAAACAGTGACAGGGTAGAGAATTCCATTGTAAGAAAACAGCAGTTCATCACGACGCATTGTACGGGCAACCACTTCTGCCTTTTCTACAAAATCAGTAATTTTTTTCCTGGGCTTGTCCATTCTGCTTCTTCTCACACACACACACAGGCCCTGACACAGTGTGAAAGGCTATGCAGAAAAAGAAACCCACATGTTGCCTTTTTATACCTGCTGGGTTTGTTGGTGGTTGGACCTTAAGATAATAATTTACTACTCTTTATGAACTCTTAGACTCCAAAGAGTAATCTGAGCCTTTTGAAGTCAATAAAAGTTGATATAAAAAAAATTATGCAACCAAATGCATTTGTATTCTAGGATAAAGGACTTATATAATTTCAAAATATCATGCCTGTCACATGAAAAAGGGCAGATAAGAAGAATTTTCTCTCCATCCTGTATTAATTTTTCTTTTTTGACCATCAATGTCCCACAGGAGGTCAAATCCTTTTAATGTCCAAAACAGTCTGTTAGTCTCTCACTTAATGAGACTCTTCTCTTAAGAGAATCCCCATACAAACAGGACATTTGATACCTTTTACATGGGGACTGAATTTAGCAGTGGTAGAAAAACCCCTCAGCAGTTTCTCCTATGAGTTATTTCACCCTTGATGAAACTGGCAGCACCTGAAAATGGACTCACTTCAACACGTTTATTAATACAAATTTGTGACACCTTATGGGGTTCGCTGTGCCTGGAATAGGGTCTAACTGCAAAAAAAGCACACTTCTACCAGGTAGTAATAATAATAACACAAAGCACAGGCATACATGCTAATGCCAAGGCAACTTACAATGAAGTAATTGGTAAAAATTTTAAAGTACTATGGAACAAAAGTAAAATTAGTGGATATGTAGATGTCACGTAAAAATAACCAGAAATGCAAAGATTTCTTGTCCCACCTGTATTAATATATTTTTTATTGGCTCTCAGTATCCCCAGAATATCAAAGCTTTCTAAAGTCCATAACAGTCTGTGCAC